TATCCTTTTTATTTTTTGAATCCAAAATTCAATTGGCAAACAAAAATCTTGGGAATTTAATTTAGATGTAAAATGACGATTTTGACTTCTGACTCTTCTGGAAAATATGAATTATTTTTACTCACTGTCGAAATAAATAATCTATTTGGATAAATTGTCTTTCAAGATATCATGCACACGATTCTACAACATGGGTGTATAATAGAAAATTTTTAAATTGTATTTATAATTTGTCTATGCTAATTCATCAGCAATAATTTACCTTCAATTGAAATTAGTCTCAAACTATTTATTTTAAGATAATAAAAAGAAAAATTAAGGAAGGTCAAAAGAAGGTTTGTAGGGCACAAAAAAAAGTAAGATATTTGCCATGTGGATGTCGATAAAAATGACAATATTTTACTTTTATAGAAATATCAACAAAAATATCAATAAAATGTAGATGTGCCAATGTTATTTATGAAAAGTTATAAAAATAAAAAATTGCACAAAAAATAAATATTTTTTTAAAAATAAGTTAAAAATTATTAATATTAATATTATGTCTATGTGAATGATATTTTTTTTTTATATTTTGTCAATTTTTTATGATTATGTAGAAATATCAATTCACTCTTGATATTGATTTCAAATGGTTAGACATAGGAAACAAATTATGTTCATTTTGGTTCCTATACTTTCAAAATATTCGTTTTGATCCATGTACTTTCAATTTTAGTTCATATTAATCCCTGTATTTTCATTTCAAAATGTTCGTTTTGGTCCCTATACTTTTGAAAAGTGACCATTTTTTGTCCCTTAATTTTATTCTTAATCTCTTTTTTTTTCCTATCATAATTTTAACACGACTCTAAAATCAATATATTTCTTAAAATGTTAACATTACTTTATACTAAAGAGTTTCTATTACGTGTAAAATTTATGTTACAATTTTGCAAAGATGGAATAAAATGATTACTTTTGAAAAGTACGGGAACCAGAATAAACATTTTCAAAGTACATAGACTAAAATAACTAAGTTTAAAGTACATGAACAAAAATAAACATTTAAGTACAGAAATTAAAATAAATAAGGACGAAAGTAGAGGGATTAAATTAATATTTTAACCCAAATTTTTAATACCCAACTTGGTAGTGGGTGGGCATTTATGGATAATGGAGTTTGGACAAAAGAGTGATTTTGGATATCAAATACTCATCATTGATTTAATTTGTCACTTGTCTTAGACTTGAAGCATCTTTGTCCCATCCAAATAATTGGTAAATATGTTTTTTGTTTCATTTTAAAGAGAGAAGGTAAAATCTAAGTGTCATTGATTAGTTCTTTTGTTATATTACCAAATTTTTAAAAGTTAAGTGATTAATTAACTTCCAATTAAATTTAGTTTGATTCATGGTTTAATTCTTTAGAACTTTTGAAATCTCAATTTTCGCGGCTAAATTTTCAATTTTCTTTCATAATTTAAGAACTTCAAGTGAATTGGTCAAAACATCTTTCTTATTATATCTTGAAAGTTGGATATTGCCTCCATACTCAAAAAGAAAAAAAATTACATTATTTAAGCTTTGAATAAACTTACTATAAAAGTGATAATTTAAATATGACGTGTAAATAATAAAGGACGTCACCTCAGTCACATGTTGATTAATTTAGATATAAGTTCTTTAGGAAAATAATCAAAAAAATTTCTAAGATATTATCTCTAGTAAATTTTTGTTGAAATTCTTTACACTCTTCTACTTTATACGGTTTTCATTTTCTCTTTCCATAACCAAAATTTTTGTACCATGGAAAAGCTAAGTTGACACATTAAAATTAAAATATTATAAATCATACTCTTCCCCTTTAACTTATACATTACCATGTTATCTTTATTGGGATTGGTGGAGTCAAAACGACGTCGGATCGAGCTAGGGAAGAGTTGGGATCGAGCCGAGGACGTAGTGCTGCGGCGCCGCTACAAGATGGGGGCATGCACGGATTTTTTCCTCCATAGCGCCATGGCGCTGTTTCAATGGGTTATTTGTAGCCGATTTTGAGCGGGTTTTGGCAGCAAATCAGTAGCAGAGGCTCGGGCATTTGTAGAAGCTTTGGGGTTGATCAAGATCGATATTATCGGGTAATTGTATCTTGATTATGTGAGTTTTTCATTCCTATTCCTAAGTATTAATTGTGTAAAATACTTAGAAGCTATGAGGCTTTTGTTGAGACCTCCAGGGGATATTATGAGGAGTGTTATTGTATCCAATCCTAAACAATATTAGTGAATTACCCACATCTGAGTGGGAGATTGGACGTAGCCCTTAGTGGTGAACCAGTATAATTTGTTGTGTCGTATTCTTATTCTTTAATGTTTTCTTCATATTTGCATATTCTTGGTTGTGTTGGATATTTCTGTGGAAGGTAAAATTATTCAGGTCGATCAATTTCCCAACAAGTGGTCTTAGAGCTGTAGGGTTGCAGCATCATGTGAGACAAATATCACGCACACCATTACTATGAAGGAGTTTTGAAGTTCACCGGAGAGAATTTCAGCTTTTCGAAGGTGCAGGTAAAAGATCTTCTTACATGCAAGAAGATACACAAGGCTTTAGGGGAGAGACCAGCAGGGATGACGGACAAGGATTGGAATGAGATGGATGAGCAGGCCGTTGCAAACATCAGAATGGCGTTATCAATGAATGTTTGTAGTCTGGTGGCGAAAGAGACTACAACGAAATAATTGTTGAAGGTCATGCAAGACAGGTATGAAAAATCTTCTGCCAATACAAAAATACTTCTATGGACGAGGTATTTTAATATCCACATGGAGGAGGGAACCTTGGTGAATTCTCACATTAACAACTCATTGATATCTTGAACAAGTTAGAAGGGATGGGTGTCAAGATTGACGAGGAGGTTAAAGCTATGAGGCTGTTGACGTCTTTGCCTGACAGTTGGGAGACGATGAAGACCACAGTGTCGAATTCACTATGGGAAAGTAGCTTGAAATTTACAGCTATTTGTGATGCCACTTTATCTGAGGAAGCCCGGAGGAAATTAGGGAAAATGTCTGCATCTACTTCAGGGGCTGAAAACGATGTTGAATCAGCTTTGATAGCTTATAACAAAGGGAAGACAAAGATGAGTTACAATGGGAAGCAGCAGTAGAAATATAGTAGGGGTAGTGGGAGTTCCAATGGAGAAGTGAAGTGTTTTTACTGCCACAAGAAGGGTCACGTTAAACGCTTTTGCAGGAAGTTTAAAGAAGATGTTGAGAAAGGGACACTACTGCAAATGTTGTAACAGAAGGAGAACGGATTGAAGAGTTTTTGCCTTGTGTTTAGAGGAACATATCTGTAGACCAGTGGATGGTTGACATCGCAGAATCAGCACATGTTGCTTCAAACAGACATTGGTTCTCATCTCTTACTGTAGGTGAATATGGTTCAGTGAAGATGGGGAATGAGAGTATCTCCAAGGTGAGAGGAATTGGAGATGTTTGTTTGAAGACAGGCGAATGGGCCAAGTTGGTGCTACGAGGTTTCAGGTATATTCCTAGCTTCAGATTTAATTTGTTATCCACAGGTAAGCTAGATGACGATGGTTACAGTAGTGAGTTTAGTGGGGGTTGCTGAAAGTACAAGAGGGAATCTAGGGTGGTGGCAACAGGCCACAAGAGATCTTCTGTTTATGTGTCAGAGTTTGGGGTTGCCAAGGGTTCACTGAGACAGACTATGCGTAGCTGCAGATGGTTCAAGGCAAGACCTTAGAGGATCAACAACATTGATGGCCAAACAGATCAGAAGAATATGTCATCAGCTTAAGTAAAACAATTGAGAAGTATAGAAAAGGGAAACGAGAATTTGATAGGCCATCGAGTTCATACCTCGACTGTCAGACGTTCAGGCGAGCTGATGAAGTCGCATAGGCGAATTAGTGCATTGAAGGGTACAAGTTATGTTTCTAGTGTTGTGACAGACTTGGGTGGGAGCGCCAAGTCATCAGGAGAATCTTCCTTCAAAGGTCGTTGGGTTCAATAGAGAAAGGAAGCGATAGGGACCACTTAGATCAAGTGGGAGTACGTGGCTATGTTTCTAAGTCTGGGGGACAAGACCACGTAGAGCTACCAGTCTCGGGGCAGAGTCAGACGATGCTTGGGTAGGGCCAAGCATTCTGGATCAGTTCGATGATAGAGGAGTCAGAACGGTGCATTGATAGAAGGT